CAGCAAAAAGAAAAAAAGGATGACAGTAAATCAGCAGATGGGCATTGAAAAAAAGTAGAGAGAATGAGAAATCAAGAGTCATTGGGACTATTACTGTGCCAGTTTTTGATGCTTGTTGTGGGAATGTTGAGAGACATCAGAGAGCAGAGAATGGCTTCTCTTTCTGATGTCAATGGAAGAGCTTTGAGCTGGAAGCTGTGAAGGGCGGGGAGAGATGATCACGGGTGGGATGTCGACCGAGTCGACGAGCGGTGGCGGGTGCTGCCAGTGAGGGAGCGGCCCGGCGAGGAGGAGGTTCTGCAAGAGGGGGCCTGCCTCTATAACTGCCTGTAGAAGCTTGCCTATCTCAGGCAATGGCTTCTCAGAGGCATTTTTCCGAACAGTTGGTGGGACGTCCTCAGAGGCATTTTCCCAAACAGTTGGTGGGAGTTCTTGAGGTAACAATGGCTCTCCCACAACTGGGTCAGTTTGAGAAGACTGAATTGTGTTGTCATCAGAATCACTGTCACTTTGTGGAGTGACTTCTTGTTCTTGATTCTTTTTCTGTTGAAGCATCATCAGATTCTCAAACATCAACTTCCCACATTTTGCTTCAACTTCATCTTTCTCTTTAATGGCTCTGTTCAGAAGATCTCTGAGGTTCAAAATTTCACATTCTCTTCTCAAAATCTCTTCCTTAGCTGACATGATTGTTGTTTCAAGCTCCAAAGTTGTGTAAAAAAGAGCATGCCTCAGCTCCTCCATTCCCTGAAAAATTGGATCAATTTAGAACAGAACCCAGAAACCCAAAACTTCAGCAGAAATAGAATTATGGCAGAATTCAACATTTTTATGAGATACCCACATCTTCTTGAGAGCAGAATTCCCAGCTAAGAGACGTGCATTGATCTTCCATGGATAGATTGCAGTGATCAATTCAGATGAACTGAGGAAGAAGAAGAAGCAGATAAATAAGAGTTTCTGTAGTTCTTTTTTGCTATTGACAGAGGAAAGTTGTGGCATTCCTCTGTTATTTTTTCTCTCTGCTTTTCACTTTTTGTGTGATGGATTTTTCAGTCTCTCTAATTGGGGTATTTATAGAACAATCATGTCCTATATGTCATGCAAAAATCCCAAAAATGGGAGAGAAAAATTAAAAAAAGAAAAAACTTTGCTTTTTGTGGGGGCTATTTTGCAAAATAACTTTTATTTGTGAACATGTATTTAGATAATTGTATTCGAACCGCCGTTTTTTGTGATTATTTTTATCGTAGATTAATAGCGATATTGAATGGATAACAATCTTTACTTTTACAAGTCACTCGATCACCATTTTTAAAAACAGTTTTCAACACAAAAGTATTTTTCAAAAATAACCCTCGAACATGTTCATAATTGTCATTTGACTTTAATTTAATTAAGGACCCACGGAAATACGTTGCAATAGCATATATATTAAGTGAATAAATGACGATTTATGTATATGGATTTGGTCCATTTATAATTTGACACGTCAAATGATAAAAGAAAGAAAAAGAAAAAGATATATAGAGAATTTGTTGGCATGAATATTTTCATGTGAGTTTTTTCCTCACCTTCACCTCTTTTTTTAAATAAAAACAAAACTTGATTTTAAATTTGAAGAAAAAAATAGAAAATTCCAAAACGATTTAAAAAAAAAAAACTATATTTTTATTTTTAGATTTGAATGTTTGGTTCATAGGCTACAAGAAAGGGGGAGGGAATGTGAAATATGTGGTGAAAGCAACATTTAAAAGCCAGCATTATCAGGCCAAACATGGCACGTGCTGCACGCACGTGTGAAAGTATGAGCTTGGTTTCTCCCTTTGCAACCATCATAAAGATATTTCCAACCATTTTTTGAGCCATTTCCCACTTAACCATGCAAAATCTCACATCTCTTTTGTTTTCGGTTTCGAATCGACGAATTAAAATCGTACAGATCACTACTTATGCGATAAGGAATTTCACTAGTTCAACCCTCTCTATCCTTTGCTTAAACTATCGTGTTGTATGAATAGATGAGTGAGAGTCGTGCTTAGTAAATTCATGAATTTTTAAGATTATGTTTAGTACGTCTCTGAATTCTCAATTTCGTGTCTAGTAAATCCATCGCCTATAGAAATTTTTCAAAATTTAGGGACTTATTAGTTACAAAATTAAAATTTGTGTATGTAGGTCCTAAATTTTAAATAATGTTTAGACACACAATTGAAAATTTGGAACATAATAAATACTTTAAATTTAAAATTTAAAAATTTATTATATACAACTTTAAAAGTTTATGATCAAATTTTACATTTAATAAACTCGTTAATATTTAACATGCTTACTTATGAGATATTAAAAAGTTAAAATTTTAGCTTAAGTTTGACCACATGGATCAAATTGGTTTGCCATAAGCATGTTTGGCCAACAACCTAACTTTTTCTACGATTAAATACTTTTTTATATATATATTTTTTTCTTTTTCATCATCACTTTCAAATAAAACACTTGGTTATGTCAAAATAATAATAATTGTAATAATAATAAATAAAAAAAACTTGGCGCATGCCTTTTTTTTCTTTTTTGGGGGTTCAAGAATAATATAAAGTAATTTAAACTACATTTTAAAAAATTTCAACAACATTTGTCAACATGCAATCAAACAATTTAAAAGTAGTTGCAAGAGGTTCCAAAGAAAACACAAAGAATTTAAAGATTCCCATTAAAAAAAAAAAATCTAACTTTACAAGCAAAAACGTTCCTAAATATGACGTCATATTGCCATTAGAACAACCCAAATGGATGATTCTACCAAAATGGCTCTAAATTTGAGTTCAAACGCAACTTCTTTTTGACCAAAAACACAAAATTTATAGTCTAAAAGCACCGAAAAATAAAGCACATAAAAATAAAAATAAAAACCCTAATTAGATTAGTATATTTGAGAGTCATCCTATATTTTAGTCAGAGAAGGGAGGGGGACCAGATTTTTTCTTTTCTTTTTTGTTTTTTTTTTCCACAAAAAAAAATGGCCTTTCAGATAATGGTAGGGTCTTTTAAGATCCTTTGCTAGTGATAAAGTTGCAAAAGAGAGAGAAATCAGCCAAATCCTAAATTCCTTGGAAAAAAAAGAGGTATCTATGGGCTTCTTTACGGTGTCTATAATATATATATATATATATATATATATATATATATATATATAAATTTCTTTAATGGGTTATTTTAGAAATTATATTTCATAGCTTAATTTTTCAAATTGATTCTTAAATTTTAAATTTTCATTAATTTCAATATTCCCTCGATTGTTACTGTTTTATTTTATTAAATTTTGACTCGTATCAACTTTTTCTACATTTGATTTCAAATATCTCTCCCTCAATCCAACCTAAAAAAATTCTATATTTTTCTCATATCACAGTCCATATTAAATCCTTCTTTTTCTAATAAAAAAAACATTCCCCCCTCACCAAATTTGTTTTTTTTTTCTGACAATTTTTTTCAGTAATATGATAAACATACTCTTCTAAATCTATATACATTTTAGTGTTATATACCATTATGTTATATAATATATTTTTATCTCATATGATAAACATATACTACTTCAAAAGAATATATAATATATAGTTTTGACTAGTATATACTCAAATATTTTATGTTATATAATATATAATTTTTGGTGGTATATATTCAAATGTTAATTTATATGATATATTAGGTTATACTTGCTAGTAGTCTTCTAGGTGGGTGGGGTGGTATTTGAGGGATTTTAGGTTTTCAAATCAGAAATTTTAGGGATTTAGGGATTTCGGATATTTCAAAACAAAAATTAGGAATTTCATGAAACATGGCGGCACAGTGATTTCGGAACAAAAATTAGGAAACCACCCAAATTCTAGATTTATTCCATATTTGATTTTATTTGACATATATATTATAAAGGAGTAATTTTTCTAATGGATTCCACTAGACAATAACTTAAATGGTTAAAAAGTTAAGTTCATTATGCAATTTGAATCCTAAAATAGGCCAGTTGTATGCTAATCCTTATATATAGGTTTAAATATAATTTTGGTTTACTTTCGGCTTTGGTTCTTATATTTTTTATTTTTGTTTATTTAAGTTCATATATTTTCAAAACATTTATTTTGGTTCATTTTAACTATTTTTATCCCTGTTTGTAAATTTTTAACACAAATTTTATACATCATAAAAATCTTTTAATGCAAATTTATAACTATATTTCAAAAAATTAGTGAGTGGAACGCCATACTAAACTTTTAATCAAGATAAATGATTTGAAAAATGAAAATAGGAGCCAAAAAATGTTCATTTCTAAAAAAAATACAGTGACCGAAATGAATGTTTTGAAGCATGGAGACTAGAATAAATATAAATTAAAAACAAATATAGGGATTAAAATAAATATTTTGAAATTACAGTTATCAAAATGAAAAAAATATATATATAAAACTAAAATAAAATTTGAACCGCGCACACATTGACACATAGATACGCTACAAAATTTGGAGTTATTATGAGCTGAGTGTACACACACAAAACGGTGGCAGTCAAGCTAACGTCTAAGGTTTCAATGGTTAATAAATCTTGAAACCATTTCAAGATTTGACAAAGTTTCTTTGTTTGGTGCAATCACTCTGTGACACGTGTCATTTTTCTGTTTGTCTTTTTCATTTGTTCATTTCAGTTGTCCTATTCATTGAATTCTTGATTCTCATTATGTTCTATCTTATTATGAATGAGTTCAAGATTCAGATTCAACATCACAGAATTATTATAAAATTAAAATCCATGATGTTACTCATTATAATAGGAACCATTCAAGAGTGAGGAGTAAAAAGTACTCTCTCAAACTTACAACACAAGAATTAAAAATTACCCGGTTAAAATATTTATATTTTTTTCTAATATACTAACCTGAGTTTAGTTCAATGACTCTTATTTATTCTCTCTAAAAGTCGTTTCCTATTTACAATGGCTCTTATTGACCACTAGGTCATTCCATGATGGTTCTCCCCCCTCACTTGTACTAAAACAAAAGGAAAAAAAAAAACTGGACTTGTATTTACAATAATGACAATAAAAAATTCATCTTGACTGATAGAATATCCTATAACACAATTAAATATTCCTAAAAGTATGTGCTGGAATCATCTTTTGTTGCATAGACACGAACTTTACCAGAAAATTTACTCTCTTATGTATATAGTATAGTCTACGGATAACGTATAATAATCTTTAATTTGGGAGAACCACCAACACTTTCAGCAAATCATACAAATGATAATGCAGCCAGAACATTGAACTTTTGGAAGCTGGTTACGTTTTGGATTGGTTTTTCTTTCTTTTACACTTAAGGATCTAACGCGGTTTTGGATTCGAAGAAAAGGATGATACATAAAAATCCACCTTTTCTTTTGGATTTGTGTCTCCTTATCTTCTCTAGCATGTGAGGGCAGGTGAATTTTTTTGGGGTCCACACACCACATTCGCTTGGTATTTTTTTTTCTATAAATCCACTGTTTAAAAGCAGACTAAAAGACTGATGTAGTACATTCCCTTGGTACCTTTTCATTTGTCCATTGAAGGTTCAACCACACTACTTCAGAAAACCAACAAACTGGGACCCATTCATTTTCTCAAAAGAAAGTGCAGCTTGATTCAAACCTAGAGTTTGGGGATGACTGTGCCACTTGCAATTCACTCATATCAGATACTAACTATGGCCAAGCAACCAGACAGTAAAACAAAAAGAAAGGAAGAAAGAGTGGGATGTTTGGAGTTTGAATGGAAAAGAGTGACAAAGAAAGCTCTGGACCAGTCAAGCATCACATCATAATGGGAAAGGAACCACAGACCATGGCTTCCTCATTTCAGTAATGTAGTAGTATCTCTAAAGGATTTGAAGATTTTCAAGTGATGAAGTATAAACTAGATGCGTCAGTTTAATTTGCCTAGGCAAAACAATTGTTTCTAGAAAAAAAGCTTCCACCTAGTGAACTGATTTGTTGTAAGTCAGTAACTAATGGGTCATTTTAGTCTGTACGGTGTTGTGATGGTTGATTCCAGGAAATGAGCTCAATTGGATTGGTTTCAAGTATTTCTTAATGATACAAGGAAGCGCACTCGAATTCAAGCTTTCTACAGGAAGTGCACACAATCTAAAGCTATCACAGATACAGATACAAAAGTAATGGTGCAGCCTTGTCTTTGCTATCTATCACAACTCTCTCCCCTCAACAGGAAGAGAAATCTGGGTTAGCATTGAATTGATCATACCTGTCTGCGCATCTTGACATTAATTGGAATTTCCTTATAGGACTGAACTTTTTCAGCAGCTCGCCTTAACGGCCTACCAACGGAGGACCTCCGACATTCTTGAACTTCAAACTTATCAGTAGCGTTGCCATCGTCTTCTCTTCCTACTGATGATACTGCTGTTGGAGCAATTTCACACACAACCTCTTTATATAGAGATGAAGCACTGGTAGAACTGGAAACTAAGTCTTCTGTTTTAGCCACTGGTTCCTCAGTTTTGAATCTTGCAGACTGCCTTCTCAAACAAGGCCTGTTAGAAATTAAAGAAGGCTCATGTTCAATGTCTTTTGCATGCTTTCTTATCTGGAACATATGCTGAAAACATAAACCCAAATAAATCAATTAAATATGCACGAACAGACCTCTTGATTTCAACTTTCTGAACCCCTGTTTGAAGAACTGAAGTCTCTTCACATTGAGAAGCAGCGATAGAATGAGAATTTTCTATCTCAAACAAGTCCTTTGTAGCCAATGGTTCATCAGTTCTGAATCTGGCAGACTGCCTTCTTTTACAAAACCTGTAAAAAATTTAACAAAGCTCATGTTCGGTTCGTCTTTCGCGTGCTATATTATCTGGAACATATCCTGAAAACATAAATCCAAATAAAGAATTTAAATATGTATGAACAGACCTCTTGTCTTCAACCTTCTGAACTTCTGTTTGAATAACTGAAGTCTCTTTACATTGAGACGCATCGATAAAATGAGAATTTTCTATCTCAAATAAGTCCTTTGTAGCCACTGGTTCTTCAATTTTGAATCTGGAAGACTGCCTTCTATTACAAGGCCTGTTAAAAATTTAACGAAGCTCATGTTCAGTTTGTCCTTTGAACACATCCTGAAAACATAAACCCAAATAAAGCAATTGATATGCATGAACAGACCTCTTGCTTTCAGCCTTCTGAACCTCTGTTTGAACAACTGAAGTCTCTTTACATTGAGAAAAATCGGTAGAATTGAAATTTTCTATCTCAGATAACTCCTTTGTGGATGCCACTGGTTCCTCAGTTTTGAATCTTGCAGTCTGCCTCGTCACACAAGGCCTGTTAGAGTTTCGGTGACACTCACGATTAATTTATCTTTTGTACGATATATCATCAGTTAAGCACAAATAAAGCAATTAAATGTGCACAAACAGACCTCTTGTCTTCAACCTGCTGAACCTCTGTTTGAAGGACTGAAGTGCCAGAAGCTGCATTAAGAGGAGAATTGATTTTTAAAAATGACAATATGTAAATACTGAATGTAAATCGGTGTGCTGCCACTTACATTCTCGTTTGGATTGTCGTGGCCTGTTAGCTTTACAAGGCCTAGTATCCTTATTTGTATGCATAGATTCCTCTGCCTCATTACATTCAGCGGTCCCTACCTAAATGCAGAGAAAATAATTGTGTAAGTAGCACAAGAACTTTTTACTAAAGGAAAACATTAGTATTGTTTATGTACCTCCCCAGCTTGGAGTGCTGCTGATTTTTCTTTTATCTGGGATAAATGTTATAGTGCCAGTAGTTCAGAATGTAATCTTTTACAGCTATGTCAATCTAACCGATAAACACTAAATTGCAAATTTGAAATGACTACTACGAAATTAGACTAACCTCCTGATCCAGCTTTCTTGACAAAAGAATGCCATTTTTACATCCAAGCTCATGCTGAAGTGCTTTAAGCTGCAGAAAAATTAGTTTCAGTTTCAGAAATTTAAAAGGGTTCGATGTGCAAACTAAATCAAATTTCAGATAACAGAAATTTGACCTACCCTGTCCTTCCCTGAATTAAGTTCCTGAAAAATAGAAAGAAGTTCATCACTAAGCAAAGAAGGTTATTATAATGTATTTCCCAGGCCGCCATGATGAAACAATTGCTAAAATGGAAACTTAAGCCACAAAGAAGCAGGTGCAAGATTACCGCTAACATTTGACTGTTTGTTTGCGCAAGTTGCAGATTCTGTTGCTGCAATTTCTGAAAATTGGTTCTCAATTTCTCCAGCTCATTTCCACTTATCTCAATTATGCGACTTTAGAAAAAAAAATGCTAATTAAGGAAAGACTTCATCAATTAAACGGGAAAGTTCGAACATAAACAACGACTATTGCTGGTGATGGATCAATAATACAGTCACAGAGGATACTTTCTTTCTGCGATAAGTTTCATGAGCGTCATATTTTCCTGGAAAAAATTCAAAAAAATGTCAATAAGATTAGCCAATCAAACGGACTAGCTTATAGGACACCAACCAGGAGTACCTTCTGTAACTTATCAACACATTCATAGGTCATAAGCAAACTCGACTGCTGCTTCGTATCTCGTTTCTGCAGTGTAGGTTGCTCCTTCAAGTTGCTTATATCTGAAAGCCTTTTCCTCTGGGAACCTCCTACTTTGGAGCTCTTTATCATTTTCTCTCCGGTTATTTTCATATTTGGCCCTACGACCAACTTCCCCAGTCAATAAGAAAAACCTCATAGAGTTGCTAGCTAAATATCAACAAACATCTTCTAGGCTGTCCATACTAGTGAATGACTTGCTTCAATTTACTAAGAACAACTATGAGGTAAGTTCACCCAAATTCAATTATTCTTCCTAAAAGCTATAAAAACGCATGCAAATCTAACACCCTAAACCGTAAAAACAACGGGAGTTAATGGCATGCGCCCGAAACCTAGAATACTTGGTAAACCATATAAACCCCGAAATGCAATTAGGGTTCCAATTTAGCAACCTCAGTTCTTAGAAATCGAAAGATTAGACGAGAGGAAGAATAATTTAGAATGCCACAGGAAAACCAACTGGGCCAAAAACCATAGAACTGAAAGAAAAAGGAATCTGAAGAATTCGAACAAATTTTAGGGGAAGGATCAAGAAGTTAGTAGAAAGTGAAATGAATCAAAAACAAAAGGTACCTCCTACGTCACAGTTCTCCGAATCGAGCGCAATTATACCCTCCATGCTGGGGAAACTACGCCCAAACCCTAAAAATGTTTCTGCTTAAACAACAGATCTTGGGAAGACTGACAGAGTTTCTTCTGCTGGGGGAAGACTGAAGAGAGAATTGAATTCTGTGGATTGGGCGCGAAATTGGTAAAAGTGCGAGGGCAAAATTGTACAATGACATTCGGGAGCACAACGGCTGTCCGAAGCAAGTTCCGAACCTAATTTAAATCTTCGGGCGTGTACCCCAAGCCTATATCTCTGATGGGCCAATGGGTTGGTATTGGGCCGTTATGGACTATCAAGCCCAGAAGTGAGCCCACCTTACTCGTTTAATCCCATAAAGATTTACAGAACATAACATTGAAATAAATTTCGATATATAAACTTTTTTTTTTCTTGAATACCCTGCTAAATTTCGAGAATTCTTCAAAACTTGCTCGGATACTATTTGTTGGAAAAATAAAGAAATTCTAATTCATAATTATTGTATAATAAATACTATAAAATTCAAGAACAATAAAGAACGGAAGAAAACTAAAATCTAAAGAAAATTAGAATTACCTGAAACTCTTAAATAAGTTGATCATAACTCCAAAAAATTGTAATTTTTGATTTTTCTCAACTATGCAACCCGAACCAAATTTGAACAAGTAGCATGTATTGAGAACCATAACTATATATTTTTCTCATACTGCTAGTGGATTGCTTTCTACGTAACAGATCGAGAAATCATGTAATCAAGATGTCCATTGAAGAGCCCAAATATATATATATATATATATATATATATATATATATATTAGTAAACTAGCCTATATATAATTACTCTTTAATATGTTACATGCCTATGAATTAATTATGAAACTAATTCCAACAATAATCACTAAAGACGGATAAACGAAAATGAAATATAAAATAAAATTTTAAATTTTATTTTTAAAAATTTATATTGAACTTAGATTGTAATGGAATATTCTATTATTAGTATTATTATTTACTAATACTCGTAATGAGAGTGAGTATTATGTATTTAAATTATTTATTACTAACTTTAAATCGAGTTGTCAACTTGAACATAAAAAGTTGCATGTTCGAACTCCCGTCGTGTACTAAAAAAAACTTTAAATCAAGCTCCTTTCATCTCATTTCGTAAATAATAATAATAATTAAAAAAAACGCTCCTTTCATCTCATAATATATTTCACTTTTTGTCATCGGCTCTTGTGGTTGGCTAAGAATCTTCAACTTTTAAAACTTGACGCATGACAAATGGGAAGGTCATTTTCCACACTTTTTATCCCATCTTTAATTCATGGTAGGTTTCACTTGCCCCTCACCTTTTTCAAATACATGGATATTCGGCAACATAATTCTCATCATAATATGTTTAATTTCCATCAACATAGTATAAACAAAATTTCATTTTATTTGATGCATGTTGGTCGAATTGATTAAATGGTGAAATATTCTACAATTAGACCACACACAGAGATTAAAATACTATTTTGGTTCGGTATTTTTGGCTCTGGTTTATTTTATTTATTTATTATTATTTTGTTAATTTAAAAAACTTTTGGTTATAGTTTATTTTAGTCACTTACTTTCAACATTTGTTCATTTCAGTCGTCGAACTTTTATTTTTTGTCCATTTTAATCATTGTACTTTCACAACGTTATTTTCATCAATATACTTTCAATATATTTGATCCATATATGCAAAATGTTGTACCTAATAAAAAAAAATTTCATACAAATTTATTAGTACATTTAAAAAAATCTGTTATGATGAGATTATCATTGAAAAAATGAGATAAAATAAAAATGAATGGACCAAAGTTAGATATTTCGAAAGTCAATGGATCAAAATAGACAAAAGTTTAAAAGTATAAATATTAGAATAAGTCGAAGCTGAAAATACAATAACCGAAATACTATTTAAACATTATATATATATATAAATATAAATAAAGTAGCGAGGCTTCTATCGTATCTATCCAACCTCCAACAATTTATTATAGGCTAATTTAAGTCAAAATTGGCTTCATTAAGAAAACAGACGTATAGAATAGCATGTGGAGGTTGAGGTGGGTCCATACGATTTTTTCTAAAATTTGATATTTTAGCATATTCCATTTTAATTACTAATTAATACTTAATTTCAGTTTTGATTAACCCATGACAAGTGAGATTTTATTTATTAAATCATAGCTTTTTTTTTTTTTTTGCTGTATGTGTGTATAATTAAATGTAGGTATAACAAATGCATATCCAGCCCTCTACTCAATTTTGAAAAAGCAAAAATAAAATTAGGGATTTAAAGAAAAAAGTAAGTAAAAAGAATTCAAACTCCAAAAATTATTTTTAAAAATAAAGTCGGCTGAATAGAATCATATTTTAGAGAGTTTATGAAATAAAAAGAAAGTATTTATATATATACATATATATATTAAAGAAATACTTTTTTTATGGAAATAAAAACTTTCATTTATTTCACCATTATTTTAAATTTCTGATTTCCGTAAAAATGGAACATAACAAATAAAAGTCGAAAATATAGGGGTCAAATCCAAATAAATGAGATAAAAAAATAAAGGGATAAAAATAGGACCAAAACAACCGATTATGGGTGGCTCGTTGGATTAAAGGGACTATGATTAATTAAGGGTGAATGAATTCAAACCTCCTGATGACAACTTACTTAGGAATTACTGACATTTAAAAAATTCATGGACTAATATAAACAAAATTTTAAAGTACAGAGAATAAAATTGAACTAAAATAAACCTAATAACCCAAATCTAAGTTGATTATTTTTTACCAAAAGGCCAATGGCATCAATCATCGTGAAGCATAATTACATGGGGAATTAAAAATTCAACTTTCTTCTAAACCAATATTTTAAGAAACTAAACAGGCTCCATCAAACACAATTTTCAACAAAAGAAATCAAGATGAAGAAGCATATTATGATTGTGAAGAATCAAAATAAAGTATAGTTTGAAGAATGCAGAGGAACATTAAACAGACTGTCTCTCCTCAGCAGGGAATTTTTAATCCACAGACTCAAACAGAAACCAGAGAAAGAAAGAGAAGGACCTTCAACATTTGGAGAAGAAGAAGCCCACTTTCCCCCATTGTCTCTCTGGATTATACCCTTTTAGAATAATCTTTTCCATATCCCTATAATAAATTCAAGCAACAGTCTGCAAAACAAGACACTAGAGAGAGGGGGAAAAAGAGGGGAAAGGAGAGAGAATCATCTCGCTCCTCCTTCTTCATTCACCTTCCTCCAGACCAGACCAGACACAGGTGTCTGCCCTCCATCACTTCTTGGTGCTCAAAACCCTAGCAAGAAAGTAAAAATGGCATTTTCCTCCCATTGTTCCCATGTTCTCTCATTTGGGTTATAAAGTCGCATCTCATTTTCCCAACTTTTTTTGCAGATTCAATAGTTGTACTGAATGAAGAGTTGTTGTGATTGTTCATTTTGAGGAAGGTACCTGAAAAGTCTTCTTTAGCTAGCGGAAATGAGTGCTACCACTGGCGTTCTCTTCTTCTTCTTCATATGGGTTTTGAGCTCTTCTCTGCCTGCTCCTACCATGGCAACTTTCAGTTTCAATCTCACTGTCCCTCATCTTCTTCCAGATCCTGAAGCTGTTGCTTATGAAGTTCAGAGGTAACAGATTCTTCTTCACCCATCTTCACACGCTGCCATTTCACTTCCCCACTGGGTTTTCTTGGTTTTGCTGTTGGGTATTTTGTGTGTCCACCATTTTCCATTGTTTCAGGTTTCAACAAAGGAAATGCCCAAATGGGGATTCTGCACTTGAGCTCGTTTTGACATTTTGACAAACAGTTGATGTGCATTGTTTTGCTCAAGCTGCTGTCCCCTGTTTCTATGACTTCTGTAACACTAATTGGGGATTGGGGTTACCTTTTTGCAGGACAGTGAACGATTCTTTTTCCAGAAGGCAAATGCTATCCATTCATTCGAAAGGCCAAGCTAATTCATGTCAAACTGGGAACCCAATCGACGATTGCTGGCACTGCGACTCGAACTGGCAAGCCAATCGCCAACGGCTCGCCGATTGCGGCATTGGATTTGGGCGAGACGCCATGGGAGGCAAAGGAGGTCAGATCTACATAGTGACAGATTCC